AGCATTGGCTCACCCAGAAAGACGACTGTAGAAAGTACATCAGAGTTTAAACATTTTATTTCAAATATGACATAAACCTACTGCACATCTTTGAAAAATGCTGTTAACTGACACTAACAGCTTTAGATTGTGAAAGGATGAAAAGGTCTGTACAAGACAATGTTTGCTTCATTATCTTCTTCCATGTATTACTAGTATAATAGGAAATGCTGCAGTGGTATCTGACGAATGAAAAACAGGAATACAGTGCTTCAAAAAGGAATAGAAAAATAGAACAACCTTGGTGTCTTAGTGCATAGCACTGGAGTTCAGGATTATGGACTACATTTGTGCCTGCTGATACCACAGGGATGAATTTTGGCCTCACGAGGCCAGAATGAGGATGGAGGCTCTTCAGCCAGGAGCCAGCAAGGGTGAATGGGGGCAAAACTTCAAATGTGTGCAGGCAACTACTGACACAAATATACTACAGGCAAATAATTCATTATGAATTTTCAAAGTGGCCTAATGAAGATATACACCCTTTGTAATGGTTGACATACACCAAAATATGCACTAAAGTAGCTCTGTGGGCTTTGACACTCACTCTCAAGTCACCATGAGCCCTGGTAATGGTCTGCAAATGCATGTTCTTAGCCTACTGGCAATGCAACGTATTTTGACATAACTCAGTCTACAGTGATGGAGGCTCACACCTTAGATTTCATACTTTTCATTTATATGGCCGTGCAGAAAGAATATGTCCATCATTTTTGACAATATACCATCTACAAGTCCATTACTTTGATATTATTTTCTACATTACATATTTAGAAAAAAAGAATCTAGTCATCGATTGACAATTTTGCCAGTGGAAATACACATTTTAACAGGTCTCAGCTTTCCCTTTTCTGGTTGATTTCAGAGCTGAAACAGGTATATAGAAAGACGTTCATTTAATGAAGTCCATAGGAACTGCACATGTTGCATTAATTCCTCTTTTCCAAAATTTGACGATAAGTAAACTGTTCTAGGATAGTTAAATGGAGTATTGGAACAAACACCCAACAGAAACACAGGGTAACAGGCTAAATTGGGCTCTTTTCATTTCTGCTTAGAGTTGTAAAAAATATTTCATACTGCTAAGTTTAAAAGCCTTAAAGTTATCAGTACCATTTACAAATCACAACTGATGTAACATATTCTCTATTGAAAACAATGAATGATCAAAGCAGGATGAGATTATAGCACTGTGATTTGCATTTCATTTCCAAGAATGTATTTGTATGTATGTATATATGTTCCTATGCGTCCATAGTAACCACAGCCATAACCCAGAAAGTATGGTGTTGGGAGCTTTGCTCTGAAAATCAAGTAGCCCATTAGGAGACATAAATATTAATAGAGCTGTCTAATCCTACACTCTCACATGAGGTAGTTCAGATCATATTCTTTGCATTTAAAATTTATGCACTGCACCGACTAGAATAAGAAACAGAATCCACATGTGAAGAAGTCACTGACGTTGGGTGGTCTCTTAGCCACTGATAATTACTAAACATAAAAGTAAGGATCAAGTGATTTCTTTCCTTATTCTACTCCCAATTCTCCTACAGATACTAATGTATCCAAAACTGCATGTGCCTAGTTCCATGACATTGAGTATATATCATATTCTCTACAAAAACTACACCTGCACATTTTCACATTCAGATATCTTCAGGCAATATGAAGGCTTCAGTACAGGTTCATAAGAAAGAGCATACTATCATCCCAAGTGCAGAACACACAATACCGGGGGTTTCTTTTAGTGGTCTCATTAGTGATCATTTTCAAATTTTCTTTATGTAGTTGTCATTAAAGTAGGAAATTCACGGTGCAAACTGTTGCAACGCAAAGAAATATATAGAGAGTATTAAAAAAACACAGGCATGCAGCTAAAGCAGCATGTACAGTCCTCCTAAGAGATAATAAGTTACCCTGTCATTCTAGATCACAAGTAAAATATTTGTGCTTTGACTATAAAGTAAAATAGAGATCTGAAATACCAAACAGAGTGCAAACTATTCAGGTATTCCCTAGAAACGATGCAAAAGTTTGTCAGGAAATTCAGGAAATACCACATAATCAACAATATAATTAATATCAGTCAGTAAAATGGTGTTACCTGCAATATAGCCTAGGTTCTATTAAAATTTAGAATTATGGCATCTATCCTCTAAAAAACCCCCACAAAATTAATTAGATGCCTTTGCACAGATTTTCTAAAACCAGCCCTAGCAAATAGAGAGGTTTCTGCTTGTATACGTACCCATAACATTTGACCTTCACATACCTGAAGCAAAAGACATGAAAACAGATGATCTTTCTTTATCCACTGAATCAGTAAATTGAAGATGAAGTATACTGAAATATAGGCATCCATATTTAGCAAAAAGCATGCTATATTGTCTCATTCCTTTTCACCCAGCTCCAGCCTCTCATTTTGTAGTCTCTGCAGTGTGCATGTCCAAATCCCACCAACAGGTGGTAATGGTTATAATGCTCATTACAATCTCTAGAATTCCTTTCATTTCTGCATCTATCTTCATCAGATTACTCCCTGTTCTTCAAAATTTTGAATTTTCTCAGGTCCCGCAGCTGACAATTAAGTATAGATACTAATTTATTTACCTAATTAATCTATTTCATGCAATAAGAAAGAATAAAGCAATATATACGATAGCATACGGTTGTTGATTCAGTCACTTTGAATTTATATATCCTTTATTAATTAAAAAGATGGTGTAAAAGTCTGCTGCTTATTTTCATATTTTCTCTTTCCAGTAATTTTCATCACTAAATATAATGAAATGACTGCAATCTAAAAATCCAGCAAAAGAGGGAACATTGGGCCTTTCTTCTTTCTCATATAAAACCAATGCTATTTCCAAGCTGCTGTTGCTGCTAAGATGCTGTGACTCTATTGCAACTTTGTTCTACAACATGATTCTTTTTACTACTAGGTATGGGGGCAATCCAAGCCAAGGATAATCTTAGGTTATGTACAGGTGAGTAGAGCATGAGTTACTCGAAGAACAGATTTCTACAGGATGCCAACTGCCCAGGCTGAAGGTATTCAGAAGTTCTCCGCACTTGTCAACAGGAAAAGGTAGGCTTCTGCTGCTTTTTATTGTGCTGTGTGTGCAATGAATTCAACTGGAAAGGTACCTACTGAATTTCAAATAACTCTCTCTTTATTCTCCTTCAGGCTCACAGGACAATAAATATGACTTTCTCATCTACTGGGCTCTCCCTCCCTTTATTTTTGCTATTTTTCTCATATTTTTTTTTTAATATTTTCACATAGGAAAAGATGCTTTCTGAGAACAATGATGGAGATCTGCATCTTTATTTATGACTTTGTGAATCAGCATCTGGGTGATAGGAAGTGAAAGTTGCTCAGCTAATTACACATGCTTGATGAACTGAGTAATAACTGCTGCAGCACTGCACATTAATTGAATGCATATAAATGACAGCAGTTATTCTAACTTGAATGATGTGTGAAGAAGTGACGTTGCTCACAGTACCCTGATTATCTTTGTTTCCAACTTTGGGAATCCAGCTTAAACAACTGTATTTTTATAGCGCTGAGCAAAAATTCCCTAATAGAAAACATTAGAAGTTGCCTCAAAGCCCAACACTTTAAAAACAAATGGCCTTAAGTCACTGAAAGTGGATTTAGACATCTAAAAAAGCATACATTAAGCAACTACAATTAACAATTAATAATTAACAACTAACTACAACTAATAGCCAGTAGGACCTGTAAGAGCAAAACCCTTGGAAAATAAGGCCACCTTCATTTAGATGCCTAGATATCGCCTTAAAAGCCTAATACAGAGTTTACAGAGTTGAACTTTGCCCAACTCTAAACCACTTCCTGCTATGACACTTTCCTAAAATGAATTTGTTCTGGAATGACAGGGACATACAGCAACTGATATAAAAAATATGGATTACAGCTAATAGGCAACTGTGTATGTCCACACTAGTCTGTTTACCCTAAAAAGTATTCTAGATTCAAATGTAGTCCAGCTATTAAATTACACATTATTTTAAAGAAGACAATAAAGAAAAATAATTTGATGTAAAACAAATGTGTAAAGTAGTATAAAATTAGCACCTTAAACTAGTACCAAATACCTACTTTAAATCAGTACCAAAATATACCTTCTATATCGCATATCATTTGCTTCAGGAATTTGCAAATGCTCACAAAGAAATCTGCAAATTCTTCCATACGATCTAACACGAAAAGGGTAGAAGCCAAGTTTCCAAAGCTTCCAAAAGCAGCCTAGTTTCCAAAGTACCATGTCACAATATTTTAACATTTCCCTACACCCCTATTAAGAGATTTTCGGCTTTACAAAGAGAGCTGTAATCACATAATAAAGGAAATCAACGCTCACTTTTAGAAGCGTGTAAATGAAAAAAAGTGTTTCACATCTACATATCAGGAAAGTTAACACTGTTCCAAGAAAATAGGGCATATCACGTAGAAAGTCAATGTAGATTTTCAGCTCTGCTTTGCTACAATACATCATAGCCATTATGCTACGGCACTGGAATACGGAGCTGTGGAGCCCTGCCAGCAACTTCAACGGCAATAGTACCAGGCCCCAGGCATATAAGCTACCTCCTGCGCATGCATATACAACATACTGTATCTACGTACGAGTGACAGACACGCCTCTAAACCATGAGGCCAAGACAGAGAAGCTGCCAATAAGGTCAGCATGAGATAGTGCAAGAGAGATGATCAGGTGCAACTGAGTTCAGGCGTTACAAATGTTATCTTCTCATCTGCTTTACACGGTCCTCTCTTTAAATACCTTTCTGGCTTCGTTAGGACAAGATAGTCCCTAACAGTTCACTTCACAGCATCAGCAAATCAGCCTCTTTCAGCTGTATTACTCGTTCTTCCTTCGCAAGGTTTTGATCTTTCCCCCATTTTTTTTTGTACACTTTATACATACCTCCTTTTCTACAAATTTTCTTGCCGGGTTTTCTGGCACATTCCTTGGATATTCTTTTGACTGAAAAATGAATAGAAGACTAGAAAATAACATGGAGCTCCATCACAGACAGTAGGAGCATGCAACACCACTATCTAACTTAAATATGACCTGCTTTATTAGGTGCGGAAGATTCTTAACTCGTTGTGCCTGCACATGCAATGGATAAGATGTTGATGCATCTTCCCAGAAGTCAGTGGGTGGCAATGAGAATTAGGTACCAACTTTGACCTAAAAATACACGTGCTGTTGGAGAAAAAAATGAGTGTAGACAGAAAGAAAAAAAAAAAAAACCAAAAAACAAGGACAGATGCATACACAGAAAAGCAGCATGCATACATATAATATGCTGGCATGCAAACAAAGAAAGCCATGCAAGCTACCAGTACACGTGAATTAATATTGTTAGAACGTAGAACAGGAAAATAAAAAGATCTCCCTGTTTTGCCTGCTATTAACTCACCATCCTCGGTTGGGACATAGATATTTAAATAGAGGCAGTCTTCATTCTGATCTTGTACATAGGTGGAAACTACATCCAAGTTATTAGTAAACCACACGGGAAGCATGACTTCAGGCAGTCTGCCTTCTATAATGTTCTGGGGACACACTGGAGCAAACTGAGTGGTATTTTTGATATCTCCCCAGGGAGACGGAGGCTCAGGAGGTTGAAAGCGGCGCTCCCCTGTTGGAGGGGCAGCATACGGAACCCCAAGAAACTGAATAACGGGTCCCAAAATTTCATTATTAAGTTCCTTCTTAATCCCTCTTATCTTGCCAAAGTTGGTGGTCACCACTGGGTTGGTATCATCCAATTTTTGGGAGGACACAGCTGCAGCGTGAAGCAAAAATCCAAGTATACAAAAAGCAAAAGTGGCATTCAATCCCATGTGTAACAGGCGGACTATCATCGCTCTCCATACGCAGTTCAGCCACATGGATCTTGGAAAGGCCATGGTCCCACATTAGTTGTGTAACTACAACGAAGCAATCTGATTTGTATCCACTGGTGTAAAAACAGGGCAACCGAAGGAAACAGATCAAGTTTCCTAAATAGGTGCCTGTCAGAAAAATCTCAAAAGGCTTTTCATGCGGTAAGTATCTTCCATTGATTTCACACTTACTGAAGCTGCATCTTCACTCAGCACTATTTATCAGACTACATCCTATTGACAATTCTGTTTTCCATAGCAGCAATATGAAGAGAGTAGCCATTTACTGCAGAATCCCCTCTTATAAATCAAATCCAGTTAGCCGCAGGTCTATATCCTGGAGAAAATGAAAATAAATCATTAGTATGAAAGAGCTAATATGAGCAGAGTGATAACTAGATGTTTCACAAGTTATTTACATACATTAATAGTTGCTAGAGTCATGTAAGTAAAATTGCAGTAGTTTATGGGTCCATGAAATGGCAGGTGAAACACTGATTACTGGATTATCTATAATGTCACCTGTTGAATTTATAGAGATTTTTCAGAAGAAACAAGACTCACAGAAAATACATTTTTAAAATTCACCTTTTTAAGAATAAGCAATTTGCTGCCAGGCTACATTACATAAGTGTTTATGTTAATATTTTGTTTAACTTAATCAGCTCATAATCAATTTTCACCTTGTTTGCACAAGTTGATTTATCAAAATGAAAGTAATTATTTCTTAAAGCAGAAGATAGTGAAATTAAGAGACAGGCATATACTGAAGACTCAGATGCATTTTATTTCATTAAAAGCAGATTATACTACATACAAGCATTTTTTTGTTCGAAGATAGTGAAATTAAGATAGACAAGCATACTGAAGACTCAGATGCATTTTATTTCATTAAAAGCAGATTATACTACATACAAGCATTTTTTTGTTCATTTTAAAATACAACTTCTGATTAAAACATTGAGGCAACTGGAATATATTTGTAAGGATAACATGAATTACTGTGCTTATTCATGATAACCTGAATTACCATACTTTATATGGTTTTCTTATTCCACAAGTTTCTGACAGCTGACGAAAAACACCTACAGAGTGAAATGTTCACATCAATGAAGGACCAAAATCTGCTCCCACTGAAGTGAATGGCAAACTCTGAATTTGCACAGAAGTATAACTGGATGGACCTCAGTGGTTTTTTTCAAAACCTATTTAGAAAAGGGTATGAACAGACAGTTTAGGGATGGAGCTGTGTATCACAATTTTTACTTCAGACCAATCCTGCATTCCTTATGAACTACTGACTTTGGTGAAAAATGAAAATGCATGATGAATGCGCTCAATCCCTACCATCCTTAATTTATAAAATAAACATTCCCATAGGACAGTAGAAATCTTATCTTTCATATACCCACATGAATGGGTGACTGAACAATATCCTAGAAAAATAATCAGTTAGGATCAGAGTCTGTATAATATCAAATTCCAGATTTTATTTTCAACTACTTTAGCTCAGAGGTTGTCACACAAGGCTGCGTTCCAGCACTTCTGAAAATTGCTCAGTGCATATCATTATATCTTCCATATTCATGTTAAACATATTTCCAACACAACTTACAATATCCTATTATTTAAAATGCAGTGTTATACACAACATAGCAGTGTAATCTTACACTCCCTATTAAGCAGTGTGTAATGCACAAGAAATGTGTTTTGCTTTGTATAGGAAATATTTTAAACCACCTGCTTTTGAAACAGCATTGGCAGCTTTAACGAGAATTGTTTTTTTATCATGTCTATACACATTGTAGAAAGAATCCAAAAGAACGCCTTGTCTAATAGTCAGACTACCCTGCAGTTTGGGTTATTAAAAAGGAGATTGTAAAAGCTATATAGGACAGCAGGAGATTTGGTTCACGTCTAGTGTTCCCTCAGCTCTGAACAATCTATCTCAGGAGGCAATAAGGAGATAGATGAAGCTTTTCCACAATTTTCTCTCTCCCTTTCTTTCTCTGCTAATTCTAACACCTTCACTGTGAAACTGCATTAACAAACAGGCTTACATCCTTCATTCTCCAGCTTCAAATTCTCAGCATTTGCTGGAAACACACCAATTTAGCTGCAGAAAATAATTCCCCAAATTTGATGTACGTGTTTGCATTTAGTTTAATAAACTTACACAGAATGGCACGCAGACAATTGCCTCTTGGAAGACTGTTGCTTTGTTGCATTTCAAATTTTGAAGGTAGCAGAATATTACTTGAGAAATAGTAAAGACAAAGTACATAGACAGGTGCCAGAGCAGAAGGCACCTAGTATAACTTTGCTCTTCTGAGTTGATGCACAGTAGGTCATGGAAAGATAGAAGCTTATTCCTTAGTGGTATTCAAAAACCTCCACAAATTTAAACCTTTTCCACTAGGTCCTGAAATTTATGTCTGGGTTTTTTTCCTGTCAGGAGTAGAAAAATGTACTCTCTCTTCTTTCTCCGACTCAAACTTGTAAATAGCAGGAACTTAATCTCAGTAGCCCTCCTGCTAATCTACATGGTCTGGGGAAGGTCTGAGGACAAACCAAATCCAACATAGCTGCGCCAAACAATAGCATCCTTCTTCATTTCAAACTGCTGAGTTGGTTCAATGTGGGAAATTACCAAGATGCTACTAATAATTCATTTAGCACTTTCATTCTAAAAGTCTTAGACCTGTTCTCAGATCTAAGACAACTTTTGAATACATTTTTGATACCTAAAATGGTAAATTCAATGTAAATGTAAATTCAAAGTAAATCCTAGAGCTGGGCTATAATTTTAAGCTTGTCCATCAGCTGTTTTGCCATTGCAGCTGAACAGCTCTGCTGTGATCTAAAGTTCTGGTTTGCCTCCCATGGACAAGGTTTTACTCTAAGACAGAGACAGGAGGCTAAAAAGGTAAGAATATAACTCAATGCTGTGTTTGGCTATTCTTAATTAATTAACTATTGGGTAGTAGCTAGCTTCAGTGAATAAATTTATAGGCTATACAGGGCAGTAAATTGTAAAGCACTTGCAGAATTGGAATCAACAGATTTTCATTGTATTTGTAACTTGAATTTTGGATTTGCTTTTTTTTCCACAAGCCTTTCTTTTTAAATGGCTAAGTAACAGTTTATTTTTGAGATGGAGAGGTCAAACATTCAAGCCTGTCACTGGCTGCCCTGAAGCTGTAACATTAAAAACACAAAGTCACGCAAATAAAGAAAGAGACTGAGATTACTCAAATCTTTTGAGACTTTTACGCCAAAATTTTATTGCCAGCACTAGGTGGAAAGGCAAGCAGGGAAGCCAGCCTGGAGCATGTCTTACTTGTTGGGAGTCAATGTTGGACAAAATTTTCTTTGGTCCTCCAGCAGGTGATCTACATAGGACTTTCCCTTGGTATCTGGACTTGACTGAACACAAATCAGTGGAAAGAGAGAGGAGCAATAAAGAGGAGCAGGAATGATCAGGGAGATGGGCAGGAGAATAAACTAAAGAGTAATGATGATCAATTTGGGGCAAGCTTCAGCATCAAAATATTGTGGACCTGAGGAGGAGAAGAAACATTTTCAGATTTTATTATTGTCTAGACGTGAGGATCACAATTGTTCCCTGTGGTAACACAAATTAATTCTACTGTAAAAGGTATTTGGTAAAGCCTTTCATGGTCTTCGGAACAGTCTATACTATACAGAGGTTTTTTCTATCATCTATTATTTTATTATCTTCCTTTCTGAATTTAAATTACTTTATAGCTCAGATTCTGAAATACTTTACAGAGGCATTTAGTACGCCGAGGAGCAAACAACCCAAGGTAACTTCAGTGCATCTTTGCATTTCCAGTGACATAGGGCATCCCACAACAGGTCACGCCTGCTGCAGACTGCAGCAGCTAAACTCCTCTTTGTTACTCATGCACAGAGCTTCAAATCTTAAGGGATGTCTTGAACTGCACCACCCGTCAGTATCTCCAATGGATTAATAAAAGCTTTAGTGGCACCCAAGGCTTCTGGCCATATGCCAGCTTCAGCACATGTAAAGGCATTGTTATGATATCCTTACGCCACTGGCTGTTTTCTTTTTAGCTGAAGATGTAATTTGTGATTTGATATTCATGCTTAAAAATTCCTTTCCACCTCAATTTTGCTAGTAAATCCCAATTGCGCAAATATTCATAGAAAGTGATTGTAAGAGTTTTGAACACCACACAATGCCACTTCATTCCAAAACACAAATGCTATTTTGCAGAACCAACTACATTTGCACCCATTTTTACTTACAACAGTCTCTACTTCGAACTAAGAGCCCAAAGATGTTTCATGTCTCTAAAAAGAAATCCGTGTTCTAAAATACGCTACGATGCCAAACAGGAACGTGGCCAGCAGAACAGAAGCCATTAAAGGAAAGGCTCTGACCCAGGGTGAACACTAGGTCGGTGTGACACACCAAATGTAAACATGTTCAGACAAATCCTCAAGAGATGCATCACAGAATTTCCCATCTCTTCTTTCACATTTCAAGTTAGCAAAGGGAAGCGTTGTGTCAAATACGGCATATTTTCTCTCCAGGTAGTAGTAAAGATTTTGAAACAGACCCTGCTCTTGGGTATTTCCATAAATACTTGGCGAAGGGAAGGGATTTACGTGTACTTAGTTCAAGAAATGAACTACATGCATTTTAAAAAAACAGGTGTATGACATGATAACAGAGGAGACTGCATTCCTGAATATATACACCTAAGAAGGGTACAGCTCTGGCGGCGTTTGGTTAGCTCCCACATGCCAGCACCCCTCAACCTGAGAGCAGCTACAGGCCTGGAAGCTTCAGAAAGCACTTACAAATCCAACCCTATTGAGATGCACAACCTTTGCTGAGATTGCCGGCAAAGGTATGAATAAGACATTATTCTGATGGGGTCACAGTCCCACCCCACATTAGCATGAGATTACAAGTGTTATGCTACATGGGTCCGCAAACAACCCAGTGTTAAGGATTTCCAGATGCTACAAGC